ACTGAGCACATCACCACAAACTGATGTGAACTGGAGTAGTGTAACACCACGTGCCGAAATAATTCTAACATCACTGAACCTCAAACCTGATAGAGCTCTGCAGTTATTGTCAGATTTAATGGCAGAGAACAGTCAGAAAGCTTTGAATGACCAAACACTGATAACATTTCCTGAAGAACAAAATAAATGAACATTTCATAATATGCAATTCCAGGATCAGCCTGTCTATGTTGGGCTTTGTAGCTGAACACATCTTGCCTCATCCTTCCCTTAATTCAACATTTTTATCTTGTATTTGAAATATATATTTTACATTTATGCAGAAGGAAAGTGAGCTATGACTCTCACAGCACTCATATACAATCTGTGTATAAAACTGGGCATACATCCACAGTTAGGATGCCAGGAGAATGTCGGTGTTTGCCATCAATCTTCTTATTCATCAGAGTCTGATTAGAAGCTAACTATCCTCTGGGACAGTTGTTTTGTGGAGAAAGTGTTAAAGTTGGACTTCTTGTTCACATTAGGGTTGGATGAATCAAACGACATAGCCCTAGAGGGGGAAAAAGTGGGTTAAAGCCTCTCAAGGGAATTGGCTTTTGGTGATGACTGCCACCAGTGATTCTCAATTAGAACAGACAGAGTGGTAAAAATAATTCCAGTTCTGAATTAAAAACAGGAAGTGGCATCACTTTTCATGGTTGCTGACAGCATGGCCTAACAGAGAGTGTGTATTCTTTGGAGCTAGACCAAACCTGGGCTCTGCTACGTGGCACCTACGTCACTTTGGACAAATGACTTCTCTAAAGCAATTTTTCTCACCTGTATAGATGGATATGTTAATTAGCTTGGTTGTGGTCATCATTTTACAATGCATACATATATCAAGGAATCATATTGTGGCCTTATTTATATACCATTTTTATTTGTCAGTTATACCTCAGTAAAGCTGGAGAAAAAGCTTTCAAGATTGTTCTGTGTGTATATATATATATATACACACACATATGAATGTACAGCCGAGGATGATACTAGAACATTGCAAGAGCTCAATAATTTATAACCCAAATGTCCACAGATTTCCTCATCCTTTGCTTGCACATGTTGCTGGCTTGTGCTCCTATCTGCATAGTAGCAGTGTCCCCTGGCACTGTTAAAATCCCCCATAGTTATTTTTGGAGGTCACCAGAGTGTGTCCCACATTGCACGAGAAACTAGTAAGCTTCTGTTCTTCTGTCTGCCTTATAAGCACACTGCTTCATGCCTGTGAGGGAGGTACCCTTCCCTACAGCCCTGGGCCGGGAGCTCTCTGGTGTAACTCTGCTCTGACCCAAGTCCCGGTCAGAGGCCTCGGGGCGAATGCTGTGCAAAGGATGAAGGCAGAAAGGAGAGAATGATCTTCTTCATGTTTTACCTGGACCTTGAAGTAGCTGATATGTGACCCTCTTGAAAGTAGACTTATCTTTCCTCTACTTCACTCTCAGGAAAAACATGACCTTGGCTGGGAAATAAACTGATCTTGTCCATTTACCTGTCTCTTTCCTCTGTCTCCAGAAGCGAGCTAGTTGCTATCCAGGTATTAGCTCATCCTCCCAAGAAGCCAGTGAGGTTGGTATGTTTAAGATTAATTTCCAGATGAAGAGACCAGAACTTAGAGAGATTCAGAATACCATCCTCCCTCCTCTTTCTACCTCCTTTGAATAACTACCTGAGGTCTTGCCAGCCTCAGATGTTCATTTTCCATTAGATGAGCCCCAAATCTCCCCAAATGGTAACAATTATTATTATTACTGTTCCACTCCAAGTCCAGATTCACACTGACTCAAGAATAATGAGTCTGAAGAGATATGTAGAATGGGAAACAAAGTGCAAAAATTACAGTAGTAGAGACAGAGAATAGAGGCAGGGGGTTAGTAGCTTAAGTAAAAGAATCTTTGTGCATGTATGTTGTGTGTATGTGAGGGAGGGGGAGAGAGAGAGAGAGAGACCTGCTTTATTGTGCTGGTGTGTAATGAAACCCACTAGATCTCTGAGGAGTGGTTCTACATTCAAAAATTGAAAAATCAAAATAGTAAAAGCAGGAGTATATCGTCTTGCTCTTCCCCTACCTTGCTTACGAGGTGCCCCCTTCTTCTCCTACCTTGGGCATCTGCTTTTGTTTGTGTATCTTTCTAGGGTCTCTTTATATACCATGGAGTACTGCTCAGCCATTAAAAAGGAATGAAACAATGTATTTTGCAGCCACTTTGATGGACTTGGAGGCGATTATCCTAAGTAACTCAGGAACAGGAAGCCAAATACTGCATGTTCTCACTTATAAGTGGGAGCTAAGCCATGGCTATGCATGTTCATACAAAGTGACATAAAAGAGCTTTGAAAAACCAAAAATCATGATAATAAAAATAAAATAGAAGGGGTGGATCTGAGGGACTTTATGAATAAGACGTCATCTTTTATTTATCTTCTTTTAAAATTTTTCTTACATGGCACTAGCTACTTTTCTCACCCTTCACTACCCCACCAGCCCCAATTTTCTTCCCTTTCTTTAAAAAAAAATAAAGTAAACTACAGTTACATTCCAGATAAGGACCAAGACTTTCCTTTCTCTTTCTTTTCTTTACTCCTTATTTCCTTAACTCATCCTTCTGTCTCCAAGTACAGGTGGGAAATAATTGAGGAACTATTTTTTGGTGAATTAGATTTTGATCATAGTCCACAAGAAATCTCTCAAGATTGCTTTCAAACTAAAACCAATTTCATACCCAGTGGAAAACTTAGTTTCATGGAAGAAAAAGCTAAATGGGGACATTCAAAAAATGTCTAAAAAGAAGCCAATTCTAAAAATACTTGCCCAATTACTACCAAGAAGCATTCTCTTCCTTAAACCAAAAAATACAAAGAGAATTTCTCTATTGATAACGCTTTATGTCATTTATCCAGGGCAGAGGAAAGATACTCTGGTCATCATTCCTTTTCTTTGCCAACCATAATTTTTCTTCAGTTACAGTTTAGTGAAAGACTAAATTCAATGTTAATTCTCTTTGCAAGAGTCTTCCAAATAACATGGAAAGAACAAAGATGGCATTAGTGAAAATAAAAAGCAAATTAATGTTAATCTCAGTAATAGTTTACAGATATTATTACCAATCCATTTTCTAATAATTTGGACCAAAATGTCTGCAGTTCATTCAGCTTGAGTGCTCTGGGTTTTGTGAACTTCCCAAATTACAAGTCTGTTTGCTACTGATGTCTTAAAGACACGGGGAAATGAGATCAACAAGAGATTTACGCACACAGAAAGAGATGATATTGTGTCATTCCATTTTTGTTCTTGTGTCTTTCTTTCTTCCTTCCTTCCTTCCCTTCCTTCCTTCTTCCTTCCTTCCTTCCCTCCTCCTTCCTTCCTTCCTTCCTTCCTTCCTTCCCTTCCTTCCTTCCTTTCTTTTTTTTTTTTTTTTGAGACAGAGTCTGGCTTTGTTGCCCAGGCTAGAGTGAGTGCTGTGGTGTCAGCCTAGCTCACAGCAACCTCAAACTCCTGAGCTCGAGCAATCCTTCTGCCTTAGCCTCCTGAGTAGCTGGGACTACAGGCATGCACCATCATGCCTGGATAATTTTTTCTATATATTTTTAGTTGGCCAATTAATTTCTTTCTATTTATAGTAGAGACGAGGTCTCACTCTTGCTCAGGCTGGTTTTGAACTCCTGACCTTGAGCAATCTGCCCACCAGCGGCCTCCCAGAGTGCAAGGATTACAGGTGTGAGCCACTGCACCCCGCCTATTTATTTATTAGTGGCTTAAAGTGATCCATAGACTAGGAAGCTGATGCACAGTGAAGGTTTTCCCCGTTACTACCACTCACCTATTCTCCTTTCCTCAGTTTCCATTCTCTCTTAACCAGAATTCTCTCTTAGCCAGAATTCTCTGCAGAGAGAGGAGTGGAATGGACATAGAAACCCTAAAATGTTCAGGCACACCTCTGTCAGCTGCATATATAAAAGTTTTAGATAAATATAACTTTCTTACATTGAGATAATGGATTAGAAATTAATATTTTGTTCATAACTTTTTCATATCCATGTTTTTAAAAAATATTAACTAAACATAGGACTGATCAGTTGGTGATTATTTAGTAATTAAAAGTGAAAATGTATATATTAATGCCTATGGATCTATTTCAGATGTTTCTTTAAATTTTGTGTAGTTTTTCTTTACATGCTAGTTTATGAACCTTAATTTGGTGCCTCTATCTAAAAACCAAGAGCAGGTGAGATGCCTAAGAAATTCTCATTTGCATCTGTTCCCCTTCCTTCTGAGAGGGTTATCCCACCCAATTTTGCATTGACAACAAGAAAATAACTAATGACAATTTGAGAATTAATTCACTTTTGATCTCTTATGTTACCATGTCAGGTCTTCCATCGTTTGGCTCACAATTAATGCTGAGTTACAGGAGAACAGGACAGAAGTCTGGCATTTTTACATTCAGGACAGTTGCTAGCAGAGATGATTAATAAACATCCCTTGATATGAATCAAAGAACTTGGTTAAGTGAATTCTATCCTCTTTACTTTGTCTTCTTACACAAAATATGCTACTATAAGGTTCTTATTTTTTTTCATTAGTGAAACAAAATGTAACAAATTTATCCCCTATTTATTAAATATGGATCACTTCCTTCCCATAAAAATTTAAAAGTTCAGTTCTCCAGAATGAAAGAGATGATCATGTGTAGATGCAAATCAATTCTGTATTGGTTTCTTATTACCACATTAAAAAGGAAATCTGAGAATGTAAGTTATGGCTTAATTTTGATTTTGAATGCATTCTGCTACCTAATGTACATAAAATAACCATCACAGAATGAAACTGATACATCTAACAGCTGGCTGCATTTAAATGATTTTAAAATAAGTGCTTTATAAAAAGTCAATTTTTGGTGTTTTGCTGCTGAGGAAAAAAACAAATCACAAATGTGTTTTTATTTGATTTTCTCTGACAGGACTGGGAATTCCCACATTTCATGGGCGATGTCGACGTAAATCTCCCTGGGTTACACACTCCTCACATGCAGTTCAAGATTCCTTTCTTCCAGAAGATCTTCAAGGAGGAATATCGTATTCATATAACAGGTACATTATAATGTTGAACACAATTTGATTATCTTCGTATATTAGGGTAATGCTAGCCATTGTAAGGAACACAAAAGCAAACCATAATAGTTGGGAGGCATAAATATAATTTTATTTCTCATTACCTTAACAGGACAAGGTGGTCCAGGTTGGCTGGGAGCTCTGTACCAACGTTTTGGGACCTAGGCTCCCAGTAGCTTTGACAATTTCAACGTTAACATCCAGCGGGCAGATGGGAATAAAGAGAATGGGGAAAATGATTAAGAAGGCTCACCTGTTTCTTAACCTCCTTGGCCTGTAAAAGAAACTTGTCACCTCCCCTCATATTCCACTGGTGATAACTAGCACGCAGTCCATAGAGTCAAGGATAGCAGGGAAATGTAGTCCTCAGCTGGGCAGCCGCTACAGGCGTTAGGTCTAGTGTTCCGATGTAGGCTTATCAAAGGGGGAAGGCAACCCTTTGGTGCGGGTAGTTATCCTGCCATACCACTCCACCTTGATCTTGCTCACTAGGTGGGTCTCTTTTGCACAACATACAGCTCAGTATATATTTTCAACATTAATACTCTTTATGCTTTTATTCTTCATTTGTTGCTGAGATCAAAACAATGGTATCCTAGAGCTCCAATCAGAACATATGCCTTTAGGGAGTTAGGCCACTTCTCATTTGATTTCCTGAAACCTTCTTCTGTGGCAAAGCTCAGGTTTGTCTCAAGTGGTTCTCTTGTGGATCCCCAGATTATTTTCCTTTCAGATATTTCCTGCTTTTGAAATGGCTAAAATACAATTTATTATAATAGTCTTTCATGACATCTCAGTCATTTTCATCTAAAAAAGGCTTCCTGGAATTATGCTTTATACCTTTTTCTCTTTTAATAACAAGTAGCAGACAGCTGAATGATCACAGATAAAGGATAGCATTAGTTCCAAAGCTGTTCAAATGTAGGTAATGAATGTGCGTCTGTTTTAAGGACAATGGCCTAGGATCCCACACCTGCTATAATAAAAACTGCTGAAGAAATCTGTGCTTACACTACCGTCTGTGCTGCCAAATAAAAATAGCCTGAGCAAAGAAAACATTAACATCTGAGTACTGCGAAAAACCTTTACTTCCCAGCTAGAAGGCTGTTTTCTGCTTTGAGCATGAGACAACCTTCCTAAATTGGAGAATGAGCTCATGAATAGGGAAGATGCAGCAGGTTTCTTTTCCTATTCAAAATGAATGAGGCCCATCTATTAAATTCACTGGATAAATCAATCAATTTGAGTTCAGGTCACATAGTGCGGTTTCAGAGTCCCCACTTAATCTCAGCAGCATGCTACCCTCTCGGACTTCTAAAACAGCTATCACACACATGGCATCATCATATCCCTTTGGGTGGGCTTTTGCTTAGACCATCTGTTCTTGCTACCAGCTCTTGTCCCAGGCCATCATTGCACTAATATTGTCTCTGACTATCAGAATACCTGTCAAAAATATACTGCTTAAATGTAGAACATCAGATTTAAAAAATAAAGAAAAGGGAAAGACATTGAAGAACCTGTTGGTAAGAAAAAAATAATTGAGCTGTTAAAAAAATTTAATTTAGGGCTATTTTGCATGGCTTTGTCTATACACTGTCATTTATAGATGGTACAGATTCAGGGTTTGTAGCGCCCAAAGTTTACACAATCTGGAATCCTCTATTTAAGAAGATGAATATAAAATTACATCTAAAAATTATATTCAGTGCCTTGGAAGGGAGCCATGCATACAGAGTTTCTGAAGCTTCAGTGTCATTAACACTGAGGTAAAGCCTACTGTGCATTTAGAGAGAAGCAGATACCTGACTTCCATTTGAACTAAAACTCTTGTCCCACCAAATATTATTTTCCGAAGACTTAAAAGGAAGAAAGACTAGTTACGTTTTTGTAATGGAGACTGCACTTTAATAAGGTTTGCCAGAAGGTGGGACTATATTGTAATTAAGGCTTTGATGCAGTGTTTGCCAAATTATGCTGATTGCTAAATCATCAGGGATCTTTATAAACATACAGATTGCTGGGCTCCATTGCTAACGGTTCTGACCCAGGAGGTCTGGGCAAGGGTCAGGGAATGGGACTTTGGAAAATTTCCCCAGGTGATGTTGGTAATTGGGTACGGTTCCTTTCTGATTGAGAAGCCACAGAGAAGGTCAGAATGTCTCCCTGAAATAGTCCATGCAAACAGTTGGGTGCCTGGACCTGTCGAAAAGGCCTTTGAGGATTCTGGAGTTTCAATTCAAAATAAAATAGGGTAGGTGAGGGTTTGGGGATGAAGGGCTCCACCATAAACAAATGAAATCCAATTTGTGATAAATCCAGTTTGTTCACATGCATCCACAGATCCATGATAAGAATTCCTGGGAAAATGACTACTGGTTTAGAGGCTGAAGAAGTCTGAATATTTCCCCCTGTCATCTGTGTTCTGTTTCTTTTACTCTCTCTGTTCTGTTAATTGGCCGAAGAGTTTGCCAAGGCCACTCTGGAATAGCATCTCCACAGCCCTGCTGTGAAGGGCTTTTTACTTTATCTGTCACATTTGTAAGACAATTGTTTCTGGGGAAACCTAGGTAAAATTTCCAAACTACTGCACTTCATGTTGTACTTTAATATTCTCAGTATTAAATCAGTACTCAGCACTGTTAGTATCCTACACATTTCCACAAGAACTGCAAATACTAACTTGTTGATCAGCTCTTCCAAATTCTGCTTCTTTTTTTTACGAAGATTTCAGTGCTTTCCTTGCTAAGCAGATGCAGTATCACCACTGGGATTATTAAGCATAAAACCGTCTAGATCCTCCAGTGGATCTCAAACATTAGTGTGTATTAGAATCGCTTGGAGAGCTTGTTAAAATGGTAGTTCCACCAGCCACACACTCAGAATCTGATTCCTGAGGTATGGGGCAGGGCCAGGAAGCTGCCCTCTCTCAAATACGGCAAGTGATACCTGTGCAGGCAGCCAGAGGACCGCTCTTTCAAAAACACTGCTGCTGAGAAATATTCTCTGTAGTAAGAATTCCTCTCATCTCAGCTTTCATTGATTTTCATAAGCAACTGTTAAAATCAAAAGCCAAGGGGCAGAATGCAAATTCAGTGGAAGTGGGGCGCCCAGTGAGAACAGCCAGCTGGAAAGTTAGGAACTGAGGCCAACAGAGGAAGTACCAAAGTAGACTCTGAGACTGAGCACTACCCACTGTGCTAGCGAATAGGCTATGATTGGAGAAAAGTGCTGGCCTAGGTGACCGCAGAGGAAGCTGAAGCCAGGAATAAGAAGGGACCCTGCAGAACCCCAGACACCTCCCTCTGCTGCTTTATTTGCCTTGTTGTCCTTCAGTAGAAGATCTGGACAAGGACAGCTAAGGATCTCTAGAGTCAGAGATGCCCCCAAACCAGCACATCCCTGTGATCTAAAAAAGATATTCAGTGCATGCAGAGGCAATGGAACATAAAGGTTTGGTGCATGGGCTGTAGCTCTGCTGCTTACTGATGATGTGGCCCTCATCGAGTTCCTTAACCTCTCAAAGGGTCTGTTTCTCATCTGTTAAATGGGGACAGTAATGCTACTTATCCCATAGGGTTGTTAAGAGAATTAAATGAGTTAATATATACAAGGCACTTAAAACATTGCCTGCTATGTAGTAAGCATTTGATAAGCTTTCACTCTTTTCCACTTAAAGCTTTCCCTTTTATTAGTCCAGAGTTTGTGTTTCCTATTTAATTCAAAGACATTGGGTCACCTGAGAGAGAGGTCTCTTGCCATTTATCCACTGTTCTGAGTTCTCTGCTATTAGCTACTGTTCTAAGTCCTCAAGAAGGAGAAAGCTAAGAATGAAAAATTCTTTCTCCCCTTGAAGTACTCTGTGTGTAGAGGGTTATCTGACACTCATGAATTCCCATTGACATTTTAAAAGCATTTAGAATTTGAGTATTTTTTAAATCCTGATTCCAAGCTAGTTTTATTTATGCATGTCAGAAATAACTTGAATTGTTGCATCTGTTTAGCTCATCTGGATCCCCCTTGACAGATGGTTTGCCGCAGTATGTATGAGCTTTTCATTTTATAAGCTGGGGTACAGCTTATAAAAATAAATCATCTCTATCCAAGGGTGTTTTCAAATATATTTTTTTCCTTGGAATTTCAACTTCAATAACAAAGGGGATGCATGGTTAGTGATTAAGTCACATTGGTACACTTAGCCCAAGTCCATTGTTCCTCTCCTAAAAGTAAATGCTAAAAGCAACCGTGCAATTATCTCCTCTGCCCTCTTCCCTTTTACCTATAAGGTGGGTGCATAAATGGATTAAAAATGTGATGTACTGAGTCTCCGGAGGCGAGAGAGGAATGGCCTCTCAATTCAGTCTCAGAAGCTCCTCTGAGTCCTATTAATGCCAATCCCGATGGAAGCTCTGCCATCTGTCATCCCAGCCAGACAAAGGAAGTGTCCCATTGGTGGCCATCATCTGAGTAAATTAGAAGGGGGTTGGGCAAAAGGCCAGAAAGAAGGCCTGTGCAGCCTGGAGAAGAGAATTCACACTGTTGGCACTACGATGCCCAGGGGAACCCTTTCGGCAAAAATGGAAAGTGTAGAAGTAAACAAGCCTCTGTAGTGTCTGTGTTCTATTTCAATTTCCTGAGTGGTGCAAGGGCACAGGTGCTTCATAATGGCGAGAATTTGGAAAATAATGAATAAAAACCCTTCGTCTTATTTTCATAGGTGCATGGTTTCTGGCAAATGAGCTCCCTAGATTTTTTTCTTTTTTTAAAGAGCTCTCCTGTGTCAATCAGACCATGAGGAATGCTGGAGAGGGGCAGGCCAATGGTCCACCCAGAAGAATATTCTATCTGACAAAATTTGCAAGGGACGGGTTATAGGGAAATGTGATACATCCTGTACACAGTGACAGTCCCCAAAGACCATGAATTTATCCAAAGTACACAAAGACCTCTTGCTATTCTCTCAGTTGTGAATTTTTCCA